TCAAATTACCTATTTTTAAAAAAAAGGAAGTACAGTATACTTTTCATGTGAAACAGATTAGCATAAACGTTTTTGTGTTAGAAAAACAAGCAGAAAGAGAAGCGAGGATTTAAGTAATGTTGCAAGATCTTTGAAACTGATGTTTAATCCTCAAATGCTCTTTTTTTGCATCTCTTTATCGCTTGTTACACCTATCCTTTGATTCAATTGGCTTGGCGGCTGGAAGGCGGTCATTCGTGACCTAGTTTTAAGGCTAGATGATGATCAGAGAGCATACGCGCGAGAGAGACGCAGACTGCGTTGCGGGCGCTAGCGGCCTTGATTAGGTCAGAAAGCCCCGCCTTTCAGCGGTCAAGCCAGTTGAATCAAAGGTTACTATCACATGCTTTATCTTCTGCATGCATATCTTTGCATATTGCTATTTGATTACTGCTTTATTCACTACTGCAAAAAAACCTAATCACTCATTCACACTACTCTTTTTGCGTCCTTTAAACAGTGGATTCTCGGTTGTTACGTTAATGTCTATGTGATTACTTGCTATTCTCCACATGTATGGTTTGCTGTACTTTAATTCACGCTGTAACGTTTCATTGAGTTCACTGATGCGCTCATCAAAGAAAGGGTATTGCTAACTACAAAGTCGTACTCCGTCATTACGACTATTACGCATGATTGCCCGCTTGACTCAAATATTTCAAGTGCACTTCAAGTGGGTATTTTACGGCCACCAGCCAGAATTTTGATGATGCACTTCCTCAAGGTTTTGGCAGAAATTCCATTTGAGTGTTTATGCCAGAAAATCAAACTCCTCCACAATTCCTACTCAATTATTTCTGTTACTAGTATGAAAAGAATTTTAATTTAATGCTGATGTACACCAAAACTGCAGCCTTCCAGTCCTCGGGAAATTATTGCCCATAAGTGAAGCTAGATTGATGTTAGCCATAGCAGATCCGTATGACCCCCACCGTGATATATGAGGGTTTTGACAAGTCATTCGTTTTCGACATCATACGTAATGATCACGAAAAATTTTCGGAGGTAGGGGAGTGATAGAAATATTTAGCGAACGTTAGCCATGCTCTGCGAAATTAGTAAGTTTTTACTATTTTGCATCTAAGGTTTAAAAATTTCAAAAATTACTTTATCACTTGCCAGTAACGTGTCACATGTACAATTTATTAGATCGAACCGAAAGTTCGTTCGCACCTTTTTCAAGAAATCGTAGCTTTCTACTGTCACGATAGTCTTGCATAGAAAAAATACCTTTAGAGAGGGTAGCGTACTTTTTGAAGACACCTTGCCTGCTCTCATACATGCTCTGTTCGCAGAGATAAGAATGGGAAAAGAAATCACTTCATGTTCACAATTTTGAGGCCACTAGAAATCTCAAATGTGTGCCTTAAAATACAAAACAGCCATGACCTAGGTTTTTGATCCCCTCTTCCTAGCTGTGCGAAGTTCGCGCTGATTGATCTGTTCTTTGGAAAGTTATGATTTTTGACAAAAAAGGCCAAAAAACCAATTTTCTTAGGAAAACTGATTTTCGGCATTTTTCCTCGAAAATCAAACTTTTTTAAGAAAAGCTCAATTACCCGAAATTTGCTTCACTAGGAAGAGAGGGTCAACTGGTCTAGGATACAGCCTGTTTTGAATTTTAAGGCACATTTGGAATTTTAAACGGGCTTGCCTCAAAACTCCGGAATTAAAGTGATTCCTTTTCCCCAACTTTATCTCAGCAATCAAAGCTTAATAAAGAGCAAGCGAAATGACTCTAGAAACTATACGCTTTGCTGTTCCTAATATTATTTTTGTCGCGCAGGATTATCGTAATAGAAAGAAGTTACGATTTTTTAAAATGGTGCGAATGAACTTTCTGTTCAACCTGATATTTATTCAAAATACTTGCAAACTCTCCTCCCCTCCTCCCCTCTGTTCATGCTTTCTAGAAATTCAACAAAAATATTGAGTAGTAATTTTCAAAACTATTATGTAAAATCTCAATATCAAAGTTTTTCTTGTTAGCTACGAGCACGACGCGCGAAGTTTCAAGTCGATATACAGCAAAAAGTCGCAGCTCTTCATTTCCTTATCTGCACCAACACTGGTTAATTTCCCGGTCTCAGCGACCCTGGTAGTGGGGAAAGCCTGAAAAAGCTGTCTACTCACATCAAGGGTGATGTATTGACGCAGTATAATAGCGGGCTTGACTAAGTAATTGCCCAAATCTTGCTGTAAAAGGTGAATTCCGGAACGAGAAAACCGCTCCAGTAGGTAGAAAAGGCTAAGGTAGCTCCGCCTCTCGAAGTAATGGTCTGAGGACAATCACTTGCTCAGAGCAGACACGAATGTCGAAAACTTATGATCATAATAAAGAGCGGAAATAGGCGGGGCTAGGTAAGTATATTAGTGCTCAATTTTGGACTTGCTTCTTCAAACCACCCTGACAACTGGAGCCACCTTGAACGCCCGTTTTTGGAGCGATCTTGCTCGAATTCACCACTTGCAGCGGGACTTGCGATCACTTGATTGGGAGTCCCGCTATTTTACAACGTCAAAATTTCACCATTCATGTAGACAGTGCCTTCAAAAAAAAATAATGAAACAATCAGAAAGTTTTTGGATACCGCAAGATGTTCATGTTCTGCATTTGCGCGATCCCTCAAATTCGGTAATGGAAATTTGTGCTGCGTCAGCGATCACAGGCTGTACCAAGTATGTACTCTATCTAATTGCTGATCTAGCGCTTCTTTGACTTTGAGGTTTCATAAACCTGCTTCTTAATAAGTCTTACAAGAATCTCATGTGTAGAGCAAACCTTATTCCCTGTCATTTTTACCAGACTACGATAGGAAGTCTTGCTCTTTGCTCGTCTGCGAGTTGAATTGCTCAAATTTGTTCTCTCTAAAAAAGATAACAGAATCTTACATGCAGATTCTGACTGAACAGATTGTCTAGTACAAGAAGCATCAAATTATCGTAAACTTATTATGCATACTGCAAACGATGTACGTCACTTGACGACTTGTAAGACTAGAACCTGCTCATTTTCAGTGATTTCTTCTTGTCTGTTTGTCTCTTTTTATTTGATTGGATATGTGTTCGCTAATAGTACACTTTGTACACTTTATTATGCCAGAAAAGGTTTTACTGAGGAGTTACTAGTAACGTGTCGTCAGCTGCCGTGCATAGTGTGCAGACTCAGAAATTAAGTTACAAATGACTCGAGAATAGTTCTAGATTACTACAAACGCCGAATTTCGTTGAAAGACCCTTGAAAGACCTAATTGAACCTTAGATGTATTACTATCGGCTTTCTTCTCCGGTTTTTTTGAGATGTTGTCTTGATCTAAATGCAATCCTTAGCGGTAAATCCTTTTCCAAATTCCGAGCCTCCTGCTTACGTATACGAAAAATTAAGACTTAAGCATGTTCACGCGTCTTCCGTCATTCTACATCCTCTCACAGAATATTCCACCATCTGTTCCTAAGTGTCTTTTTAGGCTTCCATGACGACCTTAGCCGATCGATACCACATGACAAAAAGACTGGGTGACGGAACCTTCGGTGAAGTGTTGTTGGCAAAGAAAATCGACACCGGGGATAAGGTTGCCATCAAAAGGCACGTGCGAATCTTTTTACCTTATTCGCTAAAGTACATTCACTTATTCATTCGTTATTTTGTTGCTACGGCAACATAAACTTTTACTACAATGCTTTTCAGTTACTTGTTCGGCTTAATGTAGCGATATACGGTGACTGGATAAGAAATACAGAGCACGAAACGGCGGCAAAACTTTCCGATTGCAAATAGAAAAGCACGAAAGCTCAAAAAGACTATAAGTCTCTGTATCGGTAAAATGGAACTAACATATACATTATAGATCTATCGAGCAGGTCTCGAACATTTTTGGAGAGGAGGAGAGGGGAGGGGGAAAGATGGCGACAGTTTGTGACAAAAAAGAGGCTTGTGTCAGCTCTGCCCTCATTTCTAAGATGCTTTCCCTGTTTTTCGAGGATTTAAAACTTCGAAAATTTAGTAATAAAGGGCATACACACTTTCGAAAATCATTTGCTTTTATTTTCAAAAAATTTTCACAGGGTTAGTATGAATTTCGTAACTAATTGATACATCATGAATGGTCAAATATTCTAGATACAAACGTCTAAGAAGCAGTAGTTGTCAGAGAAATTTTCACTGGAAAGGGACGGGGTAAGAGACATGAATTTTTTATGAAGGAAGGGGTCTGGCGGCCTTGACCTGCAAATAATTTTCAAGGTGCTTTCCCTAGCCTTTCAAAAACCTATAACTTCGGAATATCAGAAAAAAAGACAGCTCACAATTACTGGATAATTTTTGCAGAGCTAGTTTGAAATTTTTGAAGACTAAAAATTAGTATGATTGATTATGACTTACATGCAAAAACAGATGATTTGCAAATTTTTATGACTCAAAAAACCTTCTGCCCCTCCCCTCTCTAAAGGCTAGTGCATGACGAAGGCGCAGAAGCGGTATTAGTTGAGCGTGCGCGAGCGCGGTGCGCGCGTATCTTCACCGTTGTAAATACTGCGCTTCATGCGCACTGCGGCTACAAAAGCCGCGTTCGCGCACAAAGGTATTGCGCCTTCGTCATGTAGCAGCCTAGACATCTGCACATTCAAATCTTTCAAAAACGTTTAGTTCTGAACGAACACAATAAAAGCCTGCAATTTTTCTATCAGGAGTTGTACGTTCATAAAATTTCAAAAAAAAAATTTTTTTCGAACGGGATACCTTACGGATACATGACTGTAAAAGGTAGTAGCTTCGATTTCCCTTTAACAAGAAACCAAACAATTTCATAATACTGATTCATAATACGATAACCTCATATTTTTCGTAATTTTGATGGGCCAGGAAACACCAATTTTAACAAATTTATGGAAATTTTCAATCTTAGGAACAATGCGTTATCTCTTCTGACATTCTATTTACTAACAACTCATATGATTTCAGAATGAAAAAGAAATTCAAAACATGGGAGGAGGCAACATCACTACGAGAAGTGAAAGCACTGAAAAAGCTGCCTCATCCAAATATTATCAAGTTAAGAGAGGTGAGCGCTATTCGAAAAATGGAAGAAAGGGCAAAAATTTTTACATCTTAATATTCAACTTTATCAATAGACTTTACATTACTTGATTCCTGACTTTTAAATGAGTATAGTATCACAAATCAATTATGATTTGAGAAAACTCAACTAGCACTTCAATTTTGTTTTTGAGTTTTGATTTTTTATGAAAGAGGACAAAAAAGAAAGTAGAAAATCAAAGGTAGCAGAAAGTTGTAGTAGAGGTAGTAAGTAGAAAATCAAAGGTAGCAGAAAGTCGTTCATTTTATTCGTTGCATACAATTTTATTTGTATTACATACAACTTTATCGCTTTTTTCTATCTGTTTTTTCTAGGTAATCCGAGAAAACGATGTATTGTACTTTGTTTTCGAGTATATGCAAGAGAATCTATACGAGTTAATGAAAGACAGGTGCGTTGCCGTGGAATTGCGTCAGATTACATAACAACATTGTGGTACTGCAAAATGAGGTATTTACATATTTCAGGGACCGGTACTTTCCCGAGGGTGTTATTCGCAATATTATCTATCAAATTCTACAAGGACTTGCATTTATGCATAGGAACGGTACGTAATACGCCTATGATTCAAAAATCACGCTAGACTGGAGAAGCTAAATATTAGGTCTTTCCCAAAGTAAAATCATTTTCTGAATGAATCAAAGTGTTTGCGCTTTCTTAGCAGACTTAGGGTACTTTTCGATAGAGCAACAAGCTCCACAAAATGACCGGGATCCCGCTGATTCGTAAATCATGTAGAATTTGAAGTCATTGAAAAAATTATCGAATGAAAATAGGGTTTTCGTCATCCTACAAAGCTCAAAAATAGTGCAAATGTGGCAAGCTCCGCCCTCAGCTTCTCTCGAATAAATTGCATACTGCAAGACTTGAAGTAGATACTCAAAATTATAACTCTATATGTGCCCGATGAGGAATACTAAGCTTAGATTAGAAATTTGAAAGTGACAATTTTACTTTAGAGCTACTTTCGTTTCTTAAATGTGAACAGCGGAGAAAATCCAGCAAATGGATTTATGAATGATACTGTATATTCTTTGAGAGTCAAGCCCCTTCAAGAACTTTGGATCATGGGCACGCTAAAAATCGAAGCATCCAAAAAACCTTTCGGATCATTAATCAGAAACTGTGTGGATTTCATGATTACTTTGTAGAGCTTGCATACTCTTTCAAATAAGCTTAAATTTGCTAGATAAACAAAAACATTTTGATTTATTGAAAGGTTTACCTTTGCGACAACCTAAAAATCAAGAAGATAATTCACAGAGCCTAAAATACCCAAACCTAAAACGGGGATTTTAGCCACACAGAAAATACACTAACGAGGTGACTATTGTTTTAGCTATAGAAAACTTCGTATGCCCAATATGCATGAAAGCAGTTTTGAGAGACAGGAATTTCAATTACAGGGTATTTTCATCGAGATATGAAGCCGGAGAACATTATGTGCAATGGAACAGAATTGGTGAAGATTGCTGACTTTGGACTGGCGCGTGAAGTACGATCCAAACCGCCCTATACCGATTACGTATCTACGAGATGGTGAGACCACTCTATAAGGAAAAGCTTTGAAAAACTTAGAAGCTGAAGCTAGAAGAACTAGAAAGTGGCTGGTTTGATAGATTACAATTGGAATTGATTAAATTTAGAAAAAAAACGCATTCAAGACGGTTCAACCGTTACGCATAAGTTAAGTCATTCCTTTCTTACAGGTACCGAGCGCCCGAAATCTTGCTACGATCAACTTCTTATAATTCCCCAATAGATATTTGGGCCCTTGGTTGTATAATGGCGGAACTGTACATGCTCCGACCGTTGTTTCCTGGCACAAGTGAACTCGATCAGCTGTTCAAAATTGTAACAATTATGGGAACGCCAAGTAAGGTGAGGAAGATACTTATATCAAAAAAAAACAGCAAAGATATTCATCACACTGTGGAACTTTCATAAAGCTCTTGATCCGCTTCTCTGTCAAAAGTTTCTTTAGCCCATGTATACATACACATTATAGTAATTAGAAAATTCACTATATTAGGTTGAACCGAAAGTTCTGTCGCACCATTCAAAAAATCATAAATTCTTTTCGTCACAACGATTCGGCGCAAATCAAATTTTATCTGAAAGCATAAAGCATGTAGTTTCCAAAAGTTCCCTGAGGACTTTCCAATATGCTCAGGTTGCAGAGATAAAAATGAAAGAACGAGATCATCCTAAATTCGGAATTTTTGAGCAAAAATTCTAGAAATAAACTGTGCGATAAACTCCAGAACAGCCATCATCCTAAATTTTCTTATATTTTATTACTGACTGAGTTAAGTCTGTCCTGATCGAGCTCTTCTTTCAAGAGTTATGATTTTTTGAAAAAAATTCCAAAAAATCGTTTTCTTAGGAGTTCTTAGGAAATTGATTTTTCGGCATTTTTTTTCAAAAAATCATAACTTTTGAAAGAAGAGCTCGATCAGCACAAACTTGACTCATTTAGTAATAGAATACAAAAAAATTAGGATGACACCTGTTCTGGATTTTATCGCACAGTTTCTAAGTTTTTAGAATTTTTGCTTAAAAATTCCGAATTTCGGATGATCTCATTCTTTCATTTTTATCTCCGCAATCTGAGCATGTTGGTAGGTCCCCAAAGGACTTTTGGAAACTACATGCGTTTCGCTTTCTGCTAAAATTTGAATTGTGCAAAATCGTTGCGAGGGAAATAAGTTATGATTTTTTGAAAATGGTGCGACAAAACTTTCGGTTCAACCTAATATTATGAATAAATCAGAGTTCGTGGTGCAAAAAAAAACCAACAAAGCCATCTTGGAATGCAGAACCAGAAAAAGTTAGGCTTACAACGACAAATTGGGGAGATAGTGAGATGTCACCTTAAAGATTCTCTAAACTGGATAGTCCAACACAGTGAACGCTCAAACAATGCAATTGCATTGCATCATCTTCAAAAAAGTTTCTTAAACCATTACGTTTTTCTCTGGAAAGATACGTGTTTCGTCTAGCTTTCTTCATTAGAGCACGTGTTCTTTTCGGAAAAATATGTGGGAGTTAGTGGAGCTTGGAGAAGATCTTTCGCTGAAAGGAGGACCAAAAAATTCTAGATAGAGGAACACTGTTAATCTGCCTGCGGAAAATTTTTTTCAAATGCTTTTTAGAGTTGCGCGTATGGCACAAGCACGTTCCCGCAACAATTTTTCATAAAGCTAGCCTGATTAAGAATTTCAAAAATTTAATTATTTTCAGTAAAAGCAAGCCGCTAGCACATTTTATAGCTCATGTAGGCTATCCTCAACAATTTTGCAACCCAATCTTGGGGAGCTAGGCTATTCATTTACTAGTCCTTTATTATGCATTCCTATCCAGCTTCAATTAGAAAATAAAGAATATGATTTTTATAAAACTGCTCTAGATATTGAAAGATGGAAAGGATATGTTCGAGCAATAACTTCCTCGCCTTCGTAAATAACAAGGATCTTCTTTACAGGAAGATTGGCCCGAAGGCTATCAACTAGCAGCCGCTATGAATTTTCGCTTCCCGCAAGCACCTCCAACTCCTATGGAGACCATAGTGAATACTATTAGCAAAGATGGTATGAAACTCATGATGGATATGATGCTTTGGAACCCCGAAAAGAGGCCAAGCGCTAGCCATGTGAGTGTACGAAAATTTAGACGCGGAATATTTTCCTTTCTAACGAACTTCTGGCAATAGCAGTAATTTTTGATATTTTCAGAGTCTCAAGTATAAATACTTCCAAGTGAATGAGAAACTAGGAGCGCCAGTGATGAGTCAACCGGCTACGGGAACTGTGAGAAAGGCAAGTGCTGGCAGCACCCAAAGTGATTCAAAAGCGATCATTGGCAAGCCAAAGGTACAAGACACCCTTTTGATAGTCGTATCACTAATATCCGTCGCGATTTTTGGTGGAGAGAAAAAACAAGGTCAAGGCAAAAATTTAAAAAATTAACTGCAAAATAAGAGACCTCTGCTAAGAAAATGTTATTCAGCAAAAGTGAATTACTACCTCGGTCAAAGAAGAAAATTTTTCAGCCAATGATCACGAAGGAATACCCTGGTTCCGAAAACGTTTCACCAACGGGTAAATTGATAGAAAGGCATGTGAATCGCAATATTCCACTCAATAAATCCAATCTATTCGATAAGTAAGTCGTTTATTTGATACAGCTCGAATTGATTTACTCGTATAATAATTTTCTTGTAGACTTGATGAAAGTTTCTCAAAACTTGAAAAGATCGATGCAGCGAAGAAACAAACCCTTGAGAAGAAGCCAGCGAAGGAGATATATCTGTCAAAATCACGATTTATACCAGGTACAATTTTTTTGCACCCTTTACTCATACACAATTCGAACAATTCGAACTTCACATACTTGACTAGCATGAAAGCTTTGATCACAATCTTTATCAATTTCTTTCCAACAAAAAGTCGCTTTTTTCGATAATTTAGAGAAATATCTAAACTGTTAGAACACTACATTAATTGGCCGAATTGGCCCCTGCTAAATGTGCTTGTGGTATGACCACAATAACAAAAAAAACTAAAAAATTCAAAATCTCAGAGATGTCCGTAGCAGCTAGGGCTCGACAAGAGTTGGCACCAGTGCATTTTCACTGTGGAGCCCCTTTTGATCCTAAACCTTGAACATAGAAAACCCTCAAAAAACGAAACGTCGACTAAAAATACGTCGCAATTTTCGTGTCTTTTCGGCTACAAAAACTATTCTCTTTACTTTTTGTCCCAAAACGCTATTCAGCATGACTCAATGCCAGCTGGGCCGAACCCTGAAAGCAGCAAAAAGCTCTCAATGACAAAGTTCAATAGGTCAAACAGCCACTAATGACATAATCACTTCTTCAAAGCATCTATGACTTAAATTATGTAAAATCTCATTTAACTTACAAAAAAAAGTTCCATCCATTTCCTTCTAAGATTTTAAGATTTATAAATCTCTAGGAGCTGTCCCGAAGGAAGGTGGCGGAAACAATACGCTAGCAGTTGGTGGAGCACCGAGTGCAAAGACTCGTTCAGCAGTACAAGCGAGGTTCGAATACGCATACGGTTAGTCTCCTCTCTTTCTCTATACCACACAGCACTCATTTCATGTAGATAACTACCCCATAGTTTCCGGCACAACCATGGATTTTCTCTCCGTTTCAATCTTCCATATCACCCAGCTTCTTGTACTCAAGTGCAAAGCTTTCCATTAGCTCTCAATCAACTTTCTTAGTTCTAATCATTTTAACTACATTTCTCACAGTTCGTAATCTTGCGTCTCTTGATAGAAAAGTACTAAGGCAATTACGACTATGCTTCGGTTGAGGGGAAATTAGTTCCATGATAGAATTAAACTCAATCAAACTCACTATTCAAGAGGCGGAGAAGTGCATAAAAACTGCGATAACATTCTCTAACACCAATTGAATGTGCAGTAACGGTTATAACAAAGTTAGCAAAAGAGCGTTATGAAATGAAAACTTATCAGAGACAAGTGACCTCGGTTATGGTGCACGAAGAAAATTTCTCACAGAAAAGGAAGTCAAACCTTACAAAAAGGAGAGGGCTCGTCACAGGTGGCTTATAAGCAATCTGGATTTGGTTTTTGAGGCCTAAAACGGCGTTTTTTTTAGTTGAAGTTTCGTTTTCAAAGGGGATTTTCGTTACGTTTATGGTTGAGGCTCAAAAGGGGACTAAAATTTTGGAAAAGTCAAGGGACTTTGTTTTTTTTTTGCATTTTCAGGAAGCCACCTTGTGCCGAGCCCTGAAAAAGGATTGCAAAGCTTGAAAAAAAATCAAGTTATGAATATCTACTGAACAGATAATGTCTTGTGGTCGTTTTCCCACTGCAAACCATATCCATGCTTTAAACTCTGTGAACTCCCTTTTTCTCCTCTTCGTTCTTTCACTTCTCTCATCCCCTCTCCTCCTCTTTTCGCTCTTACCCTTGTTTTCTTCTCTTCTCTTTCTCTACATACATGGTCCAAAAGTATAAACGCTTTTGATTACTACCTTTTCTTGCCACAGTGTATTTCGCAAAAGTTCAGAAATAATTTTGTAGAGGTGGCTCATACTTAGCCTTTGGTTCAACTGGCTTGGCGGCTGGAACACAGAATTTTGCGACCTAAACAAGGCCGCTCACGCCCGCGACGTAGCCTACGTCTCTCCCGCGCGACTGCTCTTTGATCATTACCTAGCCTCACGAAGCCCCGCCTTCCAGCCGCCAAACCAGTTGAATCAAAGGGTACATTTAGGTAAAAACAAATCATCATAGCTCGTTGTCGTTGCTGTAATGCAAAATTTGAAAAGGGATTTAGGCCGCTGAGGGCCAAAACCCTAGTTGTGAAGCTTGATTTTGAGGCCTATTCTGAGGCGAGCTGGCTCTTCAAAAAATTATTAACTTCAGAAAGACAACTACAAAAGATCACAAAATTGCTACTGCATTTTTACCATTTATCTCAATCCCAACCTTTAGATTTTTGAAGCCTTTTCTAAGCAAATTTTGGCCCTACAATGTTTTGAATCCCTTAAAGTTATCGTAATCTTACAGTATAGAGCGAAGATAGCGACTGCCATGCAGGATGATACATGAAGTTCTTGAATCTGGAAGGGTTATTTTGATCAAACGGTTCTTTAAAGACATTTTTATACGTGTTTGAATCAACGTTACCCTGTACACCTTTGAGATCATTTCTCATGACTCAGAGATCCATAAAAACTCAAGACTATTAGGTTGTAAAAAAAGTTCCGGGGCACTTTTGAAAATTTCGTTTTCAAACGCATTTTTTTGGCGCTCGCTCGGACTCTGACACCAAACGTTGTATAGTGTTCAGCAGAGCGAAGCGTACACTTTTCATATCGCTTCTGATTTCTATCGATGCCAAGAAGTGTTCGACTTGCACATCAAGAAAGGAAATCCTTCCAATCATAAAAATTTCGCTATTTTTCTTCCTGCGCCCATTTTTCTGTGCGTTCAAAAAATTTCGTTAAAATCATGAGTGACCTGATTGAGGAACCTATTAACTTCTGACCCGCAGCTGCACTCGAGTTTTGCGATTTGTGCTCGAAAATTACAAGCTGTCGAACTTGCCTCTGACCGCAACTCTTTTCGCAGCTGCCGTCGCTTCTACAGGGATCACCGCGCCTGGGTGATGGGTCTAAAAGATGTGTGAGACAATACCCCAACAATGTTCGCAGTAATCAAAGATTTGATCCGCCCTGTGCAAAACAAGAAGACCTCAAAGTTACTTACGCGAAAAATGGTGCATTTTCGGGGGCAAAAAATGGTCGATTTTTCAAAATTTTTGGAAGAAAAATTTTTGGAGGTGGTCCCTTAAAGATATAAATGGTCCTCATAACATCCCCAGCAGACTTCTATATAACTACAGTACCTGGAGTTTCAGCTGTTATTCTGCTTGAGATAATCCGGCACAAATAGGCCACTTTTCGCGTCGACCTTTCTCCCTTCTGCGCATGCTAGTGCACCGCTATGAGGTGCTGAAAAGCCAGCACGAAATATATGTTGTAGACGAAATTCTCTTTGCAACGAAATTTGTAGCTCTGAAAAGGGATCAATCTGTTCGAAGTTACAGCGATTTGAAAAAATTTGCAAGTGTCCCGGAACCTTCTTTACAACAAAATAGAAAGAATTTCATGTTTGAATGGCACTCGAGTCCTACGCACAAATCAAAACTTGTTTTCTTGGCGATCTTTCTAACTTCTAACATAAAATATTTTCATTTAAAAACCCCTCAACAGTAGACTTCAGTCCGCAATATCTATTGAAAACCTCCAACGTTTCCTTTCCAATACGTGTATTGCTTTTTCTCACACTTTCTGCACATGATCGAATTTTCACAGGGTACGTGCCGAATTTCGGTGCAAGGACATTAAACAACAACGCAACCAACAACAAGCACAGTAGTGGTCGGACCGATTGGATGGCAAAGTAAGAAATTAGCACATATTTGTCATTCAGGAAATCTGTGTATCTTTCTTAGGTAATAGATTGGGAGGGTTAGACTAAGTCATTGCTCAAACAGCATTTCATAAAATTCATTCGTGATCGAGAAATTTGACTGTAAACTCCAGCCTAGACCGTACTTTTTACCGTACTCGACCCGGAAAATACGGTCTGGGCTTGAGTTTACAGTGGAGTTTCTCGGCCACGATTGAACAGAATGAGCTGATGTTTGGACCAAGACTTACCTAGGGTCCCCAGATAGTTATTACAAAAGAAGTCCACCTGGACAATCCTTGTAAAATGTTATCGCCTAAATTTTGATAAGAAGGAAGATTTTGCTAACTGGTAATGGTTTAAGTCGTGGATTTCTACTCGTTTTTATCGCTACTCAATCGAACAATGTGATAAGCTTGGAAACAACTAAATCGTGCCATAATTTATGATTTTTCAGGTACATCCGAAACTAACACCGATTTCACATCCCGGATTGATACAACACTCACTAAACGCTCAGCTCAAACGTGTAGTAGTTTGTAAGTAAAATTCTGCGTAGGTATGTTTAGAGTTTTCTGCCGAGAGATCCCTCTCTCTCATAAATTCCACGGTATGGAATATTGTGTATGAATAAATATTTGTATTTATTCATATTTTCTATAACACTACGCTGGCACAAGCGCGAAGTACAGCAAATTCAACTCAGACTCTTGCATCAATTTTCAGAAGAAAATAGGTTCAACGACCAAGCTTTGTTATTCTTTGATGCAATATAAATAGGCTTCGCATTAATCTACACAAAAAAATTATTTAAGAAGGGTCCAAAAATAGCGTTGAAATCACAAATTCACCGCAAACTAAGTGATGTGAAGAAGATATGGAGCTTTTGAATTTTATTTACTCATCATCGATGAAAGCACCATATCTGAGTCCAGCTTCCCAAAAAGTTTTCTATTATTTTTCAAAAATTTTTCATTAATTATAACAGCCTGTAGACAACGGACGTGAATTTCAACAGCATTTTTCAACCTAAAAATAAACGGTATAATTAATCCGTATTTTAAAAAAATTGAAAACAGAATAAATTATTGAGAATACCGGCATTAACAATAAAAAGGTTCTGCAAGCAAACATTGACCCAAATCAGAACTTTAGTTGAATTTAGGATTTTTCTCTGCGAATCATAATAACGTCTTTGAAGACTTAGTCGGAGGATGTTGAAAATACGCATACATTAACATAGAATAAATTATACAGTCGGAGTTAACGCTATTAGGCGTTCTGGAACAATCTTCAGAAAAAAAGTCTTCATAATGCAGTGTAATTTTTGATTGCTGACCAAAACTTAGAATGTAATTTTGCAAGCAACGGAATGGCAGATTAACAAAGAGCATAAAAAAATTTTTGGGGCTGGTGGTAGGATATAATAAAAATCTTTACCAAATCAAAAGCCCAAAAGATTACTGAAATTTCACAGAACCGAAAGACTCGCTCGAAAGAGAGACTTCGCTGAGAAAAAAAAACAAGCAAGTCTTTAAAAGTCTGGAAAATGTTGGTTACTAACAAGGGAAGGATACTAACTTAGATTCGCCTTCTGCGACGGCTCAGATATATTTGGAATCAACTTGGAACGCTGATTCCAAATATGGTGTTCATAGGTGCTTAGCTTTAATTTGAAGCGCGTAATGGTCTCTTTCCTACGCAAAGTTGGCGTGGTCCTCAACCTACTGATGCTAGGGTGTCGATGTCTAGGTGTTCAATTGCATAATGCTTCCTTTCAATATCGAAAGAATTAATTCGATGCTAGTTCAACATCCTAGCACTTTTTTCGAGCCGATTTTTATCTACACGCCGTCTTAAGACATTTAGAAGTTCGTTAATTACTCAAAACAGCCCACAAAATAATTCGCTCAGAAATAATGCTAAGCAGCTAGGAACGGCATATTTGGAATCAACGTTTAAAGCTGATATTAAATATAAGTGTCTCATCTCAAAAAGCGAATCTAAGTTAGTATCATTCCTTTGTAAGAAGAATTTGCAAATCAATCATTCACAAACCTTTTGAAAAATTCGCAAAATATTCATGAAGGAAAAGAGTAATGAGAAAAGCGGCTAGGCAGTCTGCTATCCAAATACGCCAGGATTTTCAAATTTTGTCAAATTCTGTCATATAATACTTACTCGAATTTCTAGATATATGCCACATTTCAAAATTAAGTTCTATGACTTGCGTTTTTCACTATTTGCATGCGTTAAATTATGTATCACCCTAAAATCTCACAGATAAGTTCGCTTTTTTGACAAGGAGAATCGACGAAAATGCACCCCGCGCCGCCAAGAATCTTGCAGATAAGTGCTCCCATCAGATAAGCCCGCCTACAGATAAAGTCCGCCTACAGATAAGTCCGCCTACAGATAAGTCCGCCATCAGATAAGTCCGCGTCTTTGACAGAATGATCGAGAAAAGGAGGCGGGACCCCACAGATAAGTCCGCCTGGCAGTCGCGGCTTCATCATCGCATACGCTGGATAGGTGAGTTCTTTTCTTTTCTGAGATATGACATTGCTTGTCTATAGAACTCGATGACACGAGTAGTAACTTCGGATTCCGCCCCATTGCCAGCGAAAACTGGGCATGGGAGATTTTTAATGTAGGCTAAATATAACACGTGCATCGCTTACAAAGCCTTATTAGAGCGTCGATAGCTCCACCAAGTCAGTTTATTGCGCAACAGTAATTAAAGCTAGAGGTACATAAACGGCTCGTCGGTAAAAGACTGCAGAGATGTTCTGGATAGATCACATGTTTCAGCGATTCAAAGAAAGCCGTGATAACGTCTGAAGGAGATTGTCTAAGGATCTGGCAAGCACTGCAGATTATTAGCTGAGAATAACGTCGCGGGATCGTCACCACATAAGCTGGATAGGTGAGTTCTTTTTTTAGATATGTCAATCGTGCCCATGTTCTTGTTCTGTTTGTCTAAAAAACAGCCATGTTCTCAATACATCGCTTGACCCTGTACAAAAAGTAGGCTGCTGAATATTTTATTGTTCTTTGTTGTTTACATGGATTGAGTTATTACTGAGCCACTCCTGCCTTACGCCACTACTAGAGCTTTTGCCCTATGCTTTAATGAACGGAAGGGTAATCGTCTAAAACTATAAACCCTAACAAGACTTCTTTGTTCTCATGAATTCTCGTTTGTTATATTAAGCCTATACCTGCGAGCAGAACAGAAGAGGTTTGATGCTTTGTTGCAAGAAACAATGCGGCTTTATTAAAGTTGCCATAAGTAAGCATGAGTGGTCCGATCTAGACAAAGTTCGTATGTACGTATGAGCTTTTCTCACAGTTGTTTCTAAATCAGAATCCCGCTTTCGAAAGATGTTTTTGAAGAGGGCTGAAGACTTCACTATTCAAATCCAACATATTCAAAAAGAGATTAAATGCCACCCACTTTCTACTGTAAAAGAGCGGACCTTCGATAGTCTAAGCAATTATAGGACTCTGCGTGCTCACATTGCAACGGTCGCAAACTCACCGAAGTTCGCGATCACTCAAAGCCCTATATTTCCAAAATTCTCGTTTGCTGTGACTCAAACTCTTCAGGCGTCTGGGATCTCAATGGCCACCAGAAGGAAGTCCTATACCACATTTTTCAAGCTTAACGCGGTACAATATGCCTTGGAACATGGAACTTCAGCTGCAGCTGTTCACTGCGAAGTCTCTGAACGTGTGATTCGAAGATGGAAGGCCGATAAGGAAATTTTGGAGGATATGCCACTGAGGAAGTGTGCCAACCGTTCTGGGAAGCAGAAAGTGGAGGAGATCGACGAAGCTGTCTATTCGTGGGTTGTGCAGAGGCGAGAGGCAAGCAGAGAAGTGCTTGTCAAGGACATTCGAGCAAAAGCGTTGCAGCTAGCACAGGAATCTGGCCAGCAGGACTTCAAGGCATCGGCGTCGTGGTGCAAACTATTTATAAAGAGAAAAAACTTAGTTACTAGACAGAGAACCAGCGTCGTCAACCACAGCCGGAAGGTTACGAAGAAATCTGCAGGGACTTTAGGAGATTCGTGCAAAAGGAATCTCTACACATCTCCCCCCATAACCTTGAAAACGTCGACGAAATCCAAGTGCCCTTTGATATGGTTTATGCAAGGACCATGGAGCAAGTTGGAGCAGACGCCATAAGGATTGATTCAACCGAGCATGAAAAATCGAACTTTACCGTTGCCCTCTCCACGATGGCCGCTGGAGAGAAATCAAAACCGATGATCATATTCAAAAAGAAGGGGGTTCCGGAAGATAAATTTCCTCCTGGAGTGATTGTCAGGGCCAATGAGAAAGGTTGGATGAATCAGGATTCAGTTCAAGAGTTTTTTAAAGAACGTTCGAAGATTGCGGTTATTCCAGGCGGGATGACTAAAATACTTACAGCCAATGGGAACAATGAATGGCCGATCCAGAAAGAGCAAGGTAAACCAAAAGCGGCGTCAGGAAAAGGATGAGCTACGGCGAGGTAGCTGCCCTGGTTTACGAGGGTTTCAACTCTATTTCTGAATAAACTATTGCAAGGTTTCACAAAAGCTCTGGATGAAGAGTCAATGATTGATGAGATGAACGAGACTTTTGACGTTTTGATTGTTACTGATAATGACAATGATGCTGGTCGTTCTTTTGGTCGCGTTATTGCCATGAATGTTTTTGATGATGATGATGATGAATATGGAATGGAAACTGAATGAAGAGACTAAAAAAGGCAGCACAATTGCGCTTTGATTGTTACTGACAATGACATCATTGTCATTATCAGTAACAATCAAAATGCACACTCACGCCGCTTCTTGGCGGCGTGAGTGTGCATTTTCATCGATTTCCCTTGTCAAAAAAGCGGACTTATCTAAAGGCGGACTTATCTGTAGGGGATTTATCTGATGGGAGGACTTATCAGATTTTAGGGTATATCGCATTTTTGAAGAAACTTCTCAAAACATTAGCTATGCACATTATCGATATCGATGTAGCAGGATTTATGTTGAATAAATGCATGCTGCATTTTGAAGATATTAGAGTGGAATAAGTGGATTGAACGTCACCAATCTCGACTCAGATCTTATTTCAAACTGTAGAGATCGGGTAGATATCCGGATTCTCTAGGACTTTTTGCGTAAAGAAAAACCCTGGAGTTGCACCACATTCCAAGATATTGTAAATCTCAAATAGATAACGCAAGTACAAAAGGCTGTTCTCTAGAACGGCTACTCTTGATTGTGGAAAAAAATGAGAAATCTTGAAAACAAGATAGAAAGTAGGCATGTGACAGAAAAATTGAGTCAACCTGCAAATTGGAAAGTTTCATGTATATCAATCTAATAAAATACCAATAGGCCAACCAGAGTGAGAAACAAACATGAAAGTAAGCGACCTTGACAATGTTTTGCTTTCGTTCGAACGAAAATTTATATTCAACAGGACAAATCATCGCATTGAATGATAATGCACGTTGTCAGCAAATGATAATCGAAGCTTTTTCTATGAGCAATAGTTTATTTTTTGATAACAAAGCGATTTCAGTGCTTGAAAAGAAGAGTAAGAAGTTTTGATAAGATGACACGTTTCGGATAGAAGCTGTTTAAGATTCGTGAGTAATTTGTTTGAAAAAGCAGCACCCCCCCCCCCCCCTCTCCCCTTCTCCGAAAGTTCTAACACTCCAAAACAGCACTCATCCCTAAAAAAATATTTGGAGTAAAGCTACCGAACCTAGACTCGGGAAGAAATTTGAAGAGCTGCTGATGATGGAGAGGATGATAAAAGTGACATTGGAAGAAAAAAAAATCTCAAAGAGACTAGGGGTAAAGGATGACCAGTCAAAAATTTCAATAAAATATATCATGGTGTAAAAGTGATGTATGAACTGATATCGTACCATGCACGACGCCAATGTAATCAATCAAATTTTTTGCATATATTGCAGGAAAATTCAAACTTGCAGATATATTTTTGTTGCGGCAAATCACTTCAGCTGTCATAACATGTGAATTAATTTTTATTTTATTCTCGGCATGTACTCAATCGAAATTTTTGTACGATACACCGAAGATTTGTACGCAGATAAGGACATTGGTTCACACAAACGAACAATATAATCAAAGTGTTATCGAATTCTACTCATTGATCATATCGAAAAACACATACAGCAGCACATATGAGGACCTTATCTGCTTATTGAATCAAGAGAAAATAGCCTACTAACAGAGAGATTACGAGAAGTTAGAGAGAGATTTACGGAAAGAACTTGTGTAAGAGGAGAGTATAATTTACATAGAAAGCGAGATGGCAAACTGTAAAAGTGAAGTAAGAGAATCGCTTGATGGGAGTGAAAGTGATTGAACTTTGGAATAGTGAAATTAAGTTAGAAAAATCCTATAGATAGCACATAGATAGAACAGTAACTGATCGTAAAGAATCGCCGATAACTGACATTGACTTGGTCCAAAACATTATAGCTGCGACTGCGCTCCAGGCGCTACTCCATACACACACACAAAACACCTACTTACGAGACTCATTTTCTGATTTAACAATGCGAAAATTGAGCAAATCGCAATCCTGCCTAAGTGGGAAGTGAGAGTGAACGACACAATATATGAACAACACATCAAAAACTATCCTCTACTCGTGTAGCGCTAATTGCGTGGAACGAATCGACGGTTCACTAGTCGCATAATCAGAACATAAGCTCATGTCGTCTTCTTCATAGTTATCAATGATATGGGTGTCGAGAAGTGAGTTTTCTTTTTCCCGAATGCGGAATCCTCGCATGGTAATGTCAACAGTCTCGCTACCAACGGTTTGGCCCATTGCCTGTCTTGCTGCACGGGCCACATCCATGTCCGAATCTTGTGACAAACGTTCCAAGACGGTTTTCACTGTCAGGGGAGTTTCGCCTCTCGAATCGCTAGCGATAGCTTCCGACTGGATCGAAGAGTCGCAAAGTGACAGAGCCCGGCATACAGCTAGTCGAACGTTGATGACACCTCAAAAGAGAGACTTCATGCTCTATGAAGCAAAAATCATATAGATACAACTATCAATAAGGGAATCCTCGTCTAACATAGAAAAAAAGATCATCTGAAAACTTCTCACGAAAGGCTAATCCGAAAAATGAAGTTTGGAAAGCTAGTAAACTCACTGTCATCAGCCATAGCTATTAGATGAGGAAGAAGGAAGTATCGGAACTGTTCCATTGACAGCGCATGATCGATGAGTACACGTTCGCAGACGTAGGCAAACCTTAAATTACAGAAAAATTGATATTTGCAATACTTACAAGATGATTTAGAGGAAAAAAAAAACAAAAATCACTTGATTACCATTACAAAAAAAGGCAAAAATGTGGGCTGATGGAAAAATAATTTGTGTTTGTGTTTTGTTTGTAGGTGTTCGATTTGCTCAGAAAAGGATACTTATCTCATCAGCTAGGCATATGTATACTTGCTGTATTTTTTCCATGGCTCGAAATTGAAAAAAAAGAAAATCAGAATGCTAGCAAAAACAATGCTGGACTATTTCGAAATGTGATCTTTAAATCTTCAAAGTATAACAATAAATCAGCCTTCTTCAAGAGCTAGATGTAAATATCAGAGGTAAATCAAAAAAGAGAAAAAACCGACAATTGTATTTTTGGCCAATTTTTTGAACTGCAGCTACAAAGTTAATACAGCAATCATACATAGGAAATGGATAATGCGCGACCAAGTCGAAGATTCGCAAAATCTTTGATTCTGATTCTTAAATACTATGAAGTTTTCAAACTTTTCTTGAATTTTACGTAGAATCATTTGCTTTCCGAACGTCATCTTGTAGAGCTTGCTTTATATCAAACAATACGTTTCTTCCATTTTCATATTCTTCTCCTCCGCAGTGGGATAAGGAACGCTCATTACTTTTCATTGACTAATAACACAAAAAGTACAAAACTCACGTTTGTCGCCGCGTCCATTTCTGCGTATTTGCGAAGCCGCTGACTAAATCGTGCACGAATAGTTCAGTCAATGTTGCACCAGATGGACCATCTACGTTGGACTCCTGTTTGCTGGTGACATTCGACCACTCGTGATCGACAAGTCGAGCAAGAATTTGAGAAAGCAGATGTACAGCCTCTTTTCGTACCTCAGACACTCGATCTGTAATCAGATCGATGATTTTGAACTCACAAGAGTCTAGCCTTTGATTTAACGGGACTGCGGCTGGAAGGCAAATGCTCGCACTTGTGATGCGGTCTACGTACGCGAGCGCGTCTCTGATCATTCTCGAGCCATGATTAGGCGTGGAAGCCCCGCTTTCCAGCTGCCAATCCCGTTGAATCAGAAGGTAGTCATTATTCAGGTCAATTAGTTGAGCATAAAAATCTAGAAAAAAAGAAATTTTGGCGAAAACAGAACATGATAACAAATCAAAAAATTACGAATCAAACTGAGGCGTCTGCTGCCTCACAAAAGCTGCCCAAAAAGCTCTTGATAAGCTATCTTCACAAAGAAGAAAACGCGCTGATTACTCCTGATGAGCCACACCCTCGGCACTACAGCGACTGTCAAACTATACGAAATTAATCGGCTCGACCCCATTTTTATTGCTTTTGCCGATTCCTTCTTCTGTCTTCCACCACCCCCCCCCCCCCCACAAAGAAAATAAATCCCCGAAAAGTCTGCCAGTTCGATGCTCACCGCATTTTTGGGAAAAACTTGGGACTTTGAGCATGTGCATGAATATTCCTAGCTTTAGCGTTCGGTGTCATAAAAAATTAACTTTTCGGTTGGTGTAAACAACATTGCGATTATGCGCAAGTTATAAAATACATCATGTACCTTCAAGCGCCAATTCTAGCGGAAATTGGGCAAAAAAGTGGTTTATGAGCCTAAAACCGGAAGCAAGCTAAGCACTAACTCCTTCAAAAACTTCTCAGTGACCAAAAACTTGCAAATTTTGCGCTAGCGTTGAATATCTGTTAGACTTGTGATACGCATGACAAAAGTACGCAAATTGCAACCTTTGAGGAATATAAAAGCATTTTCTAGAGTAAGTTCCCTCTACAACAGCCTATAAAATTTGACAAACATGAATAATTGCCACATATAGTAATCATTTAATAAATGAGCTAAATGACATCTAGATTTATGAAAAAACGATGTCCACGTCAACTGACGTGTATGTCCGGATTTTTATTGAACAAAGTCAAAAGAAAATTGAATTTATTCTACAGGCAACAGAATTAAAAGTTTGAACTTCATATTTTTTTGTTGAAACTAGTGAACCAGCAATTGAAGGTGCTAGTAGCATGCGCGCGCTACGGGACCGCCACGTGGTTTCCCGCTATGTGCACATTTTTGAATTGCGCTTACGATTCTTTATATATCAGATTTCGTCGTTCAATTGCAGCAAGACAGATGTAAAAAAAAACGTAAGAGAATTTAGAGGGACCATAAAACCAAAAAATAATCGGTACTCACCGTTAGCTAAGGTAAGTGCTATGGCACTCATTGTCCGATTGATCTCTTCTATACCGTACATCTCACAAAGCTTATTGCATTGCCTGAAGCAAGACCATTACTTTTTGTAATCAGCATATCTACCGTAGAAAACGCTAACCTAGCAAATTCGTGCCGATACCGCCAATTTCCATTCAACATCGAGTTGTCCATTGGCATAAATTGCGGCAATGCGTCGATCATACCTTTCCGTGTTTCGGGAGATAAACACTGAAAATGACAGTTTATCAGCTGATGTGTAGCAACATAGACTGACGAATATCGATTAGCATTGCCACTTATAAGAAAAAAAGAAGGGAAAAGCTAAAAAGACATGATGCTTGCACTTTATTGACAAAGATAAATAGCTTAAAGAGACATTAAGAACAGCTCACCCGATAGAACTCGAAAAGATGCTTCAACAGCCCGACTCGCACTTCAAATGCGTCCTCTCTGAAAAGCACAACGTTATAGATGATGCGACGAACATCATAGCTCGCTATGCATAATAAAAACACTGCTAGAGTTGTTGAGAGTGACGATTGTCAGGTTTGAGGTATTCATAATGTGAATAATAAATATCGATATTTCTCGTACGTCTAGTTTTTCATCGGCATAAACAACTCGACAGAATATAGATTAGCTAGAAATTTGCAATACGAACCTGTACGCATGGAAAACGGGAAGAAGATCATCGTCTGTGTGTCGAGCGCCGACAATAGCCGCCATTTCATGAATAGAATTAGCGATCGAAACGCGTACTCTCAGCTGAATGATCGGATGATTTTTCACGCGAATTGTGGTGTTTATTAGCCTAATGGACTCACCTGGTCGTCAGTGGCGAGTTTATTGTATGTGTCACGCAATTGAGGCCAGTTTGCTCTTCCCAGAGTGTACGCTACTGCTGGGAAGTTATGAGCGCAATGCCTATTGATGTCCGAATCCATCATTCCGCCGGGGAGGACCATGCCCATAAAGTTGTCGACCAGCTCTTGTGGGACAATTTTCTGCAATTTGTCATTGAAAGGACCATCCAAACATATAAAAATTCTGATATCTTTATATTCTTTGCCAGTAACAGCTGAGCAATGCACTGGGTTGTTCCAAAAGTTCTGAGGGTATCTAGGGTTTTTAATACCTTTTTTAAGCTGCTAATTTTGGAGAGAAAAACAATTTTTCATAGATACTGTTTATATCGTCTGCAAGCTTCTTCTTTTCAAGTTCTCTTTGAATAGCTCCGTTTTCATAGAGCTTTGCTCATTCTGTGGTTCCATCCTTGAAAAGTCAGCAAAACCTTCACTTCATGCTCCATTGCCGTGAGAGCAAGCAGACGAAGTTATATGAGATATAACTAACTGGGCGCATGGCAATCATAGAAGTTTCGCCCTAGATAGCGGGATTAGTCCTAAAACATCCAGTGCTAAAAACGATGAGATTAAAATGGCAGCGGCTAACAAAAACGAAAATTGAAAAAAAGCTGTCTCAGAGAGAGCGGAATATGAGTGGTTTCAGATGATTTCACAAGTTTTTTCCGTAAGAATTCAGTGAAAATTCAAAGTTGGCACTAATACTCAGCCGACTAATAACTACACAACGAGCAGTGATCATGCAGTTCTACTATATTGCGGATTAAGTTATGATTTCTCAGAGTATGTAATTTCGCATAAAAAATTTTCTCGTAAGCGCTGGAAAATTTTTCGAGTACGCATGGTGATGCTAAAGATTTATAAATTATAATAAGATTTAATATACTCGCAATCATTCTTATGAAAATAATGCTGAATCGAAGGTAAATTTTGCAACGGGTAGATACTCGGAGCAAACGAACATACAAGACACCTCAACTCAAGCTCAGAGGCCTAACCCAACCAAACCACCTTTTAAACATCTCACTTACAACTACAGATTCCGCCCAAAAACATTTTCACCCCTTCTAACGTTTTTATTTCCCATCATTAGCCATACTTACATCCCTCAAAATCGCTAAAGTGAAGAAAGTCCCCCTCTAGCTGCACTAAGAACATTCTAGACTCCCAATAAATGTCTCGTCGTTCGGGTTATCGCTTTTACACTTAAAAAAATGTCATTGCTGACTGCTAAAACACGTTTTAGGGTTCACTGCGATCATTTAGCGACGAAAAACATGAGACACATGGTTGGTATGTCCAAGTCAGAGAACGACCACTTCTTCAAACACATTGAATACACTCTGCTGCCAATAAGAGTGATATGCTACAGTCAAGGTATCGCAAAACGCAGGGCTCGACACGAGGTGGCCTTACGAGAATGCAAAATGGGAAGTTCCCTTGACTTTCCCTAGATTTTATGAACCCCCTTTGACCCTCGACCATGAACGTAAAAACCCTCAAAAATCTAAACGTCGATGAAAAAACGTAATTTTTCGGCCATAAAAACGATATTCACTTTACTTTTTGTCCAAAAAACATGACGGCGCTCGTGCTCAGTATATCTAATAAAGCTTGCTTTCCACTATTCAACGGTGTGCCGCTTTAGTGCCTCCCACTGGATCGAAAACTTTGTTCAAATGCATTGACGGAGAAGTTTCTTACCAACTTTATAAATCTGTAATTATTATATAGTACTAACGACATTCAACGAGTTTTCAAAACAAAGTGGATCGACTCCAAATTTAATGATTTTTACTCTTTCTAGCAAAAAAAGGACCATTAAGGGTCATTCTACCTGTTCTCGCGCACTTGGTAGCTTATCACGGTTCTGAGAGAGGGGGGGATGAAGAAGTGTGGACAAGCTAGAATTCTGTTGAATACAAAACCAAAGATTTTCTAAATATGGCTCATTTCTCCTGGTTCTTTTACCTACATCGCTTGCATTTGTTTTTTGCCAAAAACAAAAGTTTGCTTACCTGCACGGGATCTTCCTCAATTGGTTCTTCCTGTTCATCGGTATCTTCGCCCCTGCAGTCCGCAATTATATCGGAATCCTCCGCGTTACAAGTCGTACTCCGAGAGCTTTTACGAGATCTCGGCGAGGCATCATCTCCTCCAGAGTTCTTTCTTTCCGACTCGCTATTCCGAGGTGTTCGCCGAGGGCTTGCCACAGGCGACTGTACGGTTTGGTCCGGGGATACATAGAGCACATCGAAACGCCGTTCCAAAAACGAACGCGAATTGGGGATCGATTTGGAAGAGCCAAACGCTACAAGCTCTTCATCACTGAAAATTCTCTAGCTGGTCTCTTACAGAAATCATGCATTGTATGCTGACTTACTCGACAGCAAACGTATCGTATGGATCCGACCAGTAAGTCAAGGGTGAAAACTCCGCGGGAGCAGTCTCAGAAGTGCTCTGCAACATTCTCATAAGTTTGCCAGCATTTGTATAGAATTCGAAAAAATTATAATTTTTATCTGTTGTAGAAATCCGTCTACCACACATATCTTCCCACAATACTCCCTAGTTCACAAAAAAGTTTTGATTAATCCGACATCTGTTGAATTGTTACCATAAGACAGCCAAATACAGCGACTGGTCACGGTCACCAGGTTAGCGCGCAAAGCTAGTGGCAGTTACAGAAAGAAAGGCTGACCACTTTGATGGTGAAAAAAAAAATTGCGCCCTTATCTTCAACTAAGTGATTAGATACTATTTCTCTAACTTTCATATCCCATGCCTTGCTATCTACGCCGATGTTTAGGATGGGAAAAGTTGAAGGGATAACCATGTCAGGTGTTCTACCCTACAATCCCTCCGTCGTCGATTCTCTTCTGCAGCTTACTCATACGCACGGCTCCTCAAAAGGTCGAGATTACGAAATTGTGTCCTCATGTTCGGGTTTCATGGAAGAGAAACGACTTTCCAAAGTAAAATTTTGCTCAAATACATACTAAACTGCTAGTTTGCCAGCTTTGCAGGGTGAAGTGGATATGGCTGGAAATCAACATTTCCTATTAGACTACTTCTCGTTCAGTAAACTTTGCCATGAAGTTCGGTGTACCAGCACTCTCCCTTCAAAAAAAGATTTTTCTACTGACCATCTCATTCGAATCCCCAAACTCCAACTGATGTTACTCCCGTGTAGCCCAGGACTAGATACGGTCAAATCAGATCAAATGAGGTACATGCTGCAAAAGATTTCTAGGAAGCGGAGTTTCCGAATTTCCATTTCGGATTTCATGTCATTTTCGATCTTTTGGATGTACTTGTCAAAACTGCGCTGTGCTTCTGGATTGCAGGGCACTGCCTTTTTCGTGGCTCCATTATAAAATTGTTTTCATATCAAAAGGAACTGGAAGAGTCATCATAAATTTTCAATTCATTTGGCAAAGGAGGACAAGAGTTCATATTGTCAAAAGGAGCACGCTGAAAACTTTGCCAGTTTCATTTGCTTTTATTTTTATTAAAAAAATTTCGCGTTGTTTATCCTTCTAATAAAGTGGTTCATTCCCTCCATCTCACATCTAAAAACTATTCTGAGGCGATTAAGAACAGAAACCGTCCAGTGGTGCAATCTTTCAATTTTTAAATGAATCTATACTTGAAAGAACCTCTTTGGACTTCACTGGACTTTCTTGTTCTCCACTGCTACTGCTATCATCCAAACCAAGATCGTTCAGGGTTGTGTCTAGCAGGTCCATGTCGTCATCTTCGTTATACTCAGTGTCATCAAGGCCAATCCTGAGAAGAAATTGTTCTCGTACTCGTAAAAACATGTCACCAGTAGAAGTTTGTGGGGTAACGACTCACTTCGATAGGTCATCTGATGAATTGCATTTAGCTGCTATACTCACTTGTTCACCAGAACTTGATGGCTCACCCTCACTAAAGAATCGAGATGAATTATCCGCAAAAAAACGAACAGTTTTTTAGATTTACATGACACTTGGCGGTGCGCTTCGAGTAGATGATCTCTTCCGGCCAGCTGTCCATGTGTCGAGCATGTGCTGTAGTCCATCAATCAATCTGAATTTTGCTTTTTTGAATAATTAGCTATAAATTACTGGACTAAGAAGACTGCTGCAATTCTTACTGTCCAGACTCGTCCCCAGGATCTGATTCTTGTCCACTATCATCTGCTTCCTCTTCTTCAGTTTCTTTCTCCGGCATATAACATCCGGCTGGGAGCTTTTCAAACTCGATCATATCAGATATGACATTCTCCGGATCACGACCATCTGTTTCACACACCTGGAACAGATTCATGGATGCAGATTCAACGCAAGCTTCAGGAATTTTATAGACAGACATCAAAATTTTTACATGTGCAAACGAAATCACCTGTCCGTCCTCGATTTTCAATCCGGATAACTTTGAATCCGCAAATGTGGCAATGAATGGGCCCAGTTCTTGAAAAGCTGTGTACCAGACCTACAAAAAGGGGGATATTGATGGAATGCATAGAGCGATGCAAAATGGCATCAACGCAGTGTGTTGGGCGCATATTCAAAAACGAGCGAATTTCTCTCGTTGTTATTCCCATGACGACATTTCTTCACCGAAATCGATGCTTCGACGTGAGAATGGTGACTTTTGCTAGGAAAGAAGATGGCACATTGGCAGATTTCACCCTAGAGCGTGGTCGAAGACATAGTCATCCAAAAATTCTTCGTAATCGGAAAATATACACATCTTTTAGTAAAAAATCGATCTAATTCATTTTGAGCATACTCACACAAATAATTAGCACACAGAGCACCCAGATCTCCCTACTTCCCATACTGAAAATGCCCGTAGATACACAACTTACCCATCGTGACGGATCATGTAGAAGCTTCACAAATGATTGTGCTAGTTGTTGACGACGTACTGATGGAGATGTATGTCGTGCAACTTCTACGAAGACTTCACAAACTGCTTTTCGTACACCCCAGTTTGCATCCAGACACAGGTAGGAGAGGTGCGGAATGATGAACTGAAAAAGCAAACAATCATCCTAGCCTAAACGGCAAACCGACTGTTCTTCCGATTTAGGAATAGAAATGTGGTTCAGCTAAACTCTGTAAGGTTTATACTCCGAAATCCTTCGTCGTGCTCATATAGCACTAACATCAAGTGTCCAAAATACTTTGACAAACTTGGATTCGTAATTTTCGTGTCAAGATGATTGTTACAAACGTTTAAAATCATTTCAGAGACCTTTTCATCTTTTACTTGATATGTTCTCTGTAAATCCAGTAAATTTATTGGTTTTGAAATGGCATTGAGAAGTGTTATAGATTGATTTGGCATCTACAGGAAAGAAACCAAGCGACAACTCTCGTGATACGAATATCTCAAGACAGCTCTCCTTCCATATAATTTCTAGAAACGAAGGAATGTTAATGACAGTGTACGAGGACATGGCTTTCCGATAACCCTCCTATTGCTAACGCTGCTGTTCATCTACAGAAGTTACAAGTTTTCTTTGATTGGTCGACGGTCGACGCAATTTGTGGACACATGGGACATCATCCAGGAGACATTATTGAGAGTGGTTCCCTTCAAAATCACATCAAGCCCCTAGTCAGGGCTCGGCACTAAGTGGCTTTTGAGAATGCAAAAAACGAAGTCTTCCTTGAATTTTGCGAATTTTTACGAAGTCCCCTTTGACCCCAAACCCTAAACAAAAACCCTCAGAATCACAATTTTTGTGTCTTTTCGGCCTCAAAAACGATACCCTCTTTGCTTTTAATCCCAAAAACGATTTCCAGCTTGCTTATAAGCCACCTGTGCCGAGCCCTGCCCTAGTTTCCTCAAAAGTAGACAATGGCTCTCAATGGGCTGGCAAAGCTGCTGGCTCAAATCAATTGTGACATTTCTTACGGGACTTTCACAAATGGCAAAAATCAGAGGCAACGTCCATATGAATCTGGATACCCGGACATTTTCTGTGAAAACTAATCGGGAAGTCCTAATCAAGTCATCATCCCCAGATACTCAGATTTGCCTGGACATGGTTTTTGAGCTTGATATCCACCCAGAGTAAGCACGAAACGATACGAACTCTCGAAGTATTTGTTCAAAAACTCCTAATCACTTCACTGCAAGAATAGATTCTGCCTGTTAGCGTTCACTCTCCATCCAGATTCTTCAGAATCAATAACGATATCATCAAGAGCATTCCCACAATTCCTGTGCGTCCCCCCGATACACAAAACCAATTTCACACAGGTCGAATGACTCATCTCATCAATAATCATACGCTCGGTGCTCGCTCGCTCTTCGCCGTCCCTCGTTGGTGCCGTCTGTCGAGCGCAAAACGGCATCGTTACCTCCACACAGAATGGGGGCATATTTTTTCCGAAGCTTTTTAGAGGCCTTTGCCGTATGTCAGCGCCATACGCGCAAATACTGTCACGCGGACACTCTCCTCACTCGACGCACTGCCTCGCGCGAGCGGTTCGAAACGTGCGCAGAGGCCTACGACAATTCTCTGCCAGAGCACTCAAACGGCTTGCTCTGACGATTTCACAATTACTGCATAGTTTTGGCGAGAATGAACAAAAAATTGGAAAAGAATCAACCTAGACTCCTACAAAGAACTTTCTTTTGTCTCTCACATACTCTCTGGAGACAGTCGATAAAATTTATGAACGTACAAAAACGAAACTAACCAGTTCTGTAAATTTCTGACCAAATATTCGAGACAGGTCTGCTAGAACGCCTACCGCAGCCTGAAATTCATGAAAATTTATTGACATTCGAACCTAGTATGATATCTAATATTTCTTTGCTGGGGAGGAACGTGATACGACATCATGTAGAACATTCGTTACAGAAATCATTCTTCGAGTTTGCTGAGATATCCATTTACATGCAAAGGAAAACACCTCTCTAATTTTGCTCACAAGCAAGTTGTTGTATGCGGTGCATTTGCACAACTCAGTCCACCGATGTGCCACTCCACCGATGCTGTCAAAATTGTTTTATTGCCGCGTTGTAAAACTATTAGCTCACTTTTCTCATATTTTTATGCTACATTTAGAGATTTGCATTTCAGTAAAGGCTTATTGTCTAATATCGAAGGTCAGGCGCCCATTTTGATTATCCCGCATTTATTTTGAGAGACAATTGAACAATATTTCATAATTACTTTCAGCTGTGCAAGGCGTTAGTTTCATATGCACTCGATGATCATTTGTCTCAAGCTAGAATAAAACGCTATTCTTTTCTCAAATTGAGTATTCTACAATGATGCCGAAATTTTTTATCAAGCAGCGCCTAAGTCCTGATTCTCTGATATGTGATTGCCAGACGTACCAAATATTTTTGAAGGTTAATTTCTTGAGTTATAAAATTGTGCAGTGATTTTATCATGCTTGTGAATAGTCGGAATTTTCAAGATTTTTTCAAATTCAAATTAGCCTTGTAAAATTTTTCGCCCACAACAATTCTGGGAAGTGATTGTTGTCCATATATCAACAGTGGAACATTCCTTGAAACTTGTACACAGCTCAGACGTAAAAATATAGTTATTCAAACTTTCTACATGTTCTTCTAATACAAAAGAATTCTCTGGAAAAGTCAGTCCCTAATCAATTCCAAAACCATTCCAAATCGACGGCTTGTTCTGAACTTTCACTCTTCATCGCCATTCTTTGCATAGCTTTGCAAGCAATAGAACGAGCTCGGCTCCCTCATTTTGCACCAGCCAGCCACACAGAAACCCCGGGCATTCACCGATAAGCACCATAGGTCAAAAAAAGTCCAAGTTCTTATAGTGCATTGAACTTTCCAGTTTACATTCTTCTCCAGTACACCCCCACAGAACTCGGCCTCACACGGAGACACGCACGCATACGCACGCCGCAGTCTGCAGAATTCTGAAACGCGAATTTGCTAGCAACTTTCTTCGAGCTCCGTGGCTGTGTAGGAGAAGTAGCGCATTCGACGAAATCACTTCCCAAGCAATTCTCCCAGCAAACTTCGAACTTTCCCGTCAGAAGTCCTTTCTGAAAGGTCGAGCAATCAATGATGGAGATGTGTCTCCGCTCGAGAGACCCTCATCGATCGAGCACAGCACATTTCGAAGTTCCAAATTCACTCGTTCGGGAACAACGAGGGGCAGATAACTATCACACATCATGTGACTTGTCCGTATGTGTCTGTGTTGTTTCCATGGAGGAAAACAATCTAAAGCGAGGGCAAGATGGGCAAAAAGGGCAACCTCTGCATACGCGCGATCGCGGACACCCCTGCTAAAACTAGCACTTTATGGATGGATTAGAGCAGTACCACGTAAACAAGTGCTTATCACACTTTTTCAAAACGACAAGGTCAATTCTATTATATGCTACAATTAGTTTGACTTATGATGCTGGTTGTTAAACATAATTGACAAATTATTTTCAAATTCAGCTGCGGAGATGTTTGTAATGGCTTTGAAAAGTCAACGCCAAATGGCTAATTTCCGACATAACTGACAATTTAAAGCTCTAAAAGGGTGCTGTAAGACAAAAAAATCTAACAAACTACACTCAAGTCAACTTTAGTAAAATTTCCAATTCAATTACTATCCAAACAACACACCTTATGGGAATCATTAATTAAAAGCTAATTACTAGTCCTCAATATCCAATTTAGTGTTTATCCAATTGTTACTGATTTTTCGGAGCAACATCTTCAACATAAATATAAGTGACTACATTTAAAATCTTAATAATCTCATAAAGTTAAGGTCTGATAAATAAACAAATAATCGAATTGAAACGACTTTTTTGGCTGAGCTAACAATTTCAGAAAGTGTAGGTCCATGACAAAAAAGCAAACGGAACATTTGCCTGATTAGCCTGCTTAACAAGCTACATTTCGACAACTTTTTGTTGGATCGAAAAAATTTTATACAAATTTTGCTTGCAACAGTTATACTGCAATAGTTATTCGATTTAGCTATCTAATTGTAACTGATCTTGTTATGAATGATGTATTCAAAATAAACATAAGTGGCTACTCAAATTATAATAAACTAAAAAGGTTAAGGACCGATAAGTAAACAAAATAATTAAATTGAAACTTTTTGGTTGAGCTAACAATTTGAGAAAGTGTAGGTTCATGGCAAAAAAGCAAACCATTTGCCTGATTAGCTTGCTTAATAAGCCACAATTCGATGACATTTTGTTAGATCGAAAAAATTTTATACAAATTTTGCTTGCAATAGATATACTGATTCGATTTAGAGTTTATCCAATTGTAACTGATGTTTTCTCACGTTAAATCTTCGTCACACTAGGCTAACGACGAGTACTCAAATTTTGGCTTGTAAAATACAGCAAATTTTTCCACAAAAAATGTTGCAACTTCGTACCCATGTAAAATTTGCAGAAATTCTCAAATCCAACAAACCTAGAATTCAATTTTCAACGCTTTAGATTAACACATTCACGCTCTTACGTCCCCTACGCCCCTCAATTTCGAGTGACAAATGAACATGGCCCGCTTCGCGCAGCAGAAGAAAGCATATCCGTTGCTGGCTGGCTGCCAACAAAATCGGACATTGGCCCGATGCCAAATGACAGCGTCGCGTTGATGATAGTGTGTTGTGCATGTGTGTATGCGTATGTGACAGGGTACGAAGAGGTTGCCCTTTTTAGAATACGACATATGCGTAATCACAATAGGGGATCGGGGCCCACATAAAAACATTGTGCTGTCTGTGTGCTGCTCTGCTGCAACAAACAGTTCCCATGTGAGAAAAAAACGACGAGCCGTTATTCTTCGTTGGGCTGTCTCTTTGGCAGCAGATTCTCTAGGCACAGACCTCACTCTTCTCAGAAATACACAAAGAAAGTACTTTCACCGTATTCTTATTCAAAGAAGAAGGGATTTTCACGTCTCTGAGTACTCAAGCACTTCAGCAGTTGTTGCTCTCGCATAACATTGGAGCAAATGAACCAGACAGAGTCATAAACAAGTGCCTAGATAAAATTTGAAAATAATGACCAAGTGCACTGATCTGCACCCTCATACACAAGAACTGATAATCATATTGCACAACAGACTGCAAAGTTCTGAATAGTAGAAGTCATAAAATTGGGTTGTTTCCCAGTCATAACATTCATGATGATGTTGACATTCCTTTCTTAGCTAAGTAAACACCAAGTTTGATTATCAGGGGGCACTATGACGAATCTTGGAAAACATTCCGCTACGCCAAATTTGCACCCTTTCCAGAACTTCCGAGAAATTTTTGAGGACAACAACAGACTGTCACTATCAAATTGAGGACTACTAATGTAGCTTCTCGGTGTCAAATTTACAAAATTGAGTGCGGAAGTGTTTATCTAAGCCTCTAGAGCACTTTGTGTTTTTCACATCAACCTTCACTTCAAATAAAGTCCATTGAAAGTTTGTTTAGCTAACGTGCCTTAGTGCCCTGTAGCAGAGAATTCTTGTGCAATTCTGCACATACTCAGGTCAAACTTCTTACGAACTTTTACTATTCTGCTCAATGAGATTGATAGGCTAAATAACTCCGCAAAGATCCGTAAGACTCGTACTCTATTATCAACAAAAGAACAACTGATGGTGCCTTAAGACTATAATATTCGCCATACAAAGCACAATCCTTGATCTTCTCTCGAACGTAGTAGTTAAAAAAAGCTGCAGCGATAATCACGAAGATAAGCGCATGCTCTTATCATCTGCAGAGCAAAGATCAAAAAATATATTCGCTCTGAGCATAATTTGATGGATTGCAAAGTTTTCAGTGTAATGTGCGCATTTCGCGTAATCATCAGTGTTCTTTATTCTCCCATTCGTTCGACATTCATTATGAACCTAGATCATGACAAAACCTCGAACTTTTCCAGTTTTTCGAAAGTTAGGACTTTGCCTTCACAGTTCTGTATTGTCCTAAGTAGGCTCTCAATACCACTGAGCTTCGTAAATCGAGTAATAGGAAGCGATTCCGATAAGCATTTTAAGGCAAAAATATACGATTTCTTGGATCCAAAGCTTTTCTTGGATTTGATCGAGTAAAGATATTACTAAAAATCCTCTCCCTCTTAATTTGCATATTTCAAATTACTGGTAAACATCTACATTTCCGCTGTTTACTTTACGAATCCATCAGATGTAGTTGTTCAGCATTTGGCCTCCACTTCACCTGCTTACCATATTTGGTACTGCTCTGAACCCCCAAAAGCAAACAATCACAGACTTGCACATTTCTCCACACTTTTTGCTATTCCTAAGATCTATAGTCTGTACAACTATTTCCAGTTGTTCTCGAGTGCTCCGTGATTACGGCTTATGTGAGCTAATTCATCGTCGATAGCAAAGACGATCACGCAATTCCCGCACTGATCGTTGATCGCAAACCCTACGTAATTCAACAAAGACTTCCTCTAGACATCTTTTTTGAACACTTACTCATTCTACACGTAGACTGCTTCGAGTACTGAACATGTAAGAGACACTTGATTCTTTTTTACTGGTCTAAAATGCTACCCTCATCGCCTTCTGTGTTCCCTGACTTCCATTATTCTCTTCCATTTCTTCTTCTTCATATTCCCCTTTCTCCTTTTCGTTACAATTTTGCTTTTTGATTTTCATTTGAACAGTTAATCAGATCTAGCGGCGGGCGTGTACCTGATAGGCTACTGGAACGTATCGTATAGGGCAAACAAGCAGTTTGAATTAAAAGAAAACGCGTCTAGCAACCGAGGCTTTACCCAGCTTTGGACCTTACAGACAGATGTTTCTAGGAATATATTTCTGTGCCAATAAATCATTAGCGTTTTCTACATTAAAAAAAAGAGAACAAACAAGAAGCACGGTGTTCTTTCATTGGCCGGTGATTTTTCAAGTATGCAGGGAAATTTCGCGTTATGAATAGTATAGAGGGCAACTGTAGGCATTCCTTGCTGCTTAATCTTTCGCAAAGTTTTGAAGCTTATGTAAGTTCAAATGATACCTTAGCTGAATAAGCTAATTCAAAAATTCTCACCAACATACAGGTATCGAAACGGCAAAGTTAACCCGAATTTTTAGAAAAATACTGGCACTGATGACTTCTTGACTGACGATTCGCTTGCGCAAACAAGAAATAAAAAATAAATAAAAAAGATAGCTATCTTAGCAACTAAAAATGGAAAGGTCGAAGAAAATGACACATGGCAACATCTAGCCCTCAAAAAATTAGTTCAAATCCACAACTCTCTACAATTGCAATGTGCTTCAGCTCCAAGAAGATGCTAAAAACACCTACCATGTTGATAATCCACCGCAAAAGAAGACGAGAAAAACTGGTTCTTTTGCGATTTTTGCAAAACACTGCAAGTAAGAAGCAAATTACCTAGGCAGTTGTGTGGAGATGAACGCGGCGGCGCTGCGCACATTTGTGCGTGCACTTTGAGCTGCAGCAAGAATTGTTCAAAGAAATCTCCACTTTCACGGCCGGCGACAAGCGCATTTAGTTTCAATAGTGCAAGGCAGTGCATTAATTTCCGATACGTCAGCTGATGCCACCATCGGCAAATGACGGCATTTGAATCGATACGTGATGCCTGTGTGCCCAACGCACTTTTATCGACAACCGACAGCCACGTACAAGTGCAGCTCGCTTGCGACTCTGCTGCTGCTGTGCTGCTCGAGTTTAGCGCATCAATGACACGTTTTGCAAAACTATTTGGTTTGCTCTACCCTGTTTTTCACAATTTTTCTCCTCCATTTCTTCAACCCCTTGTCATCGGTTCGACTAAACCAGCGCTAAGCAGTCATCCATTTCATTCCCCGTCTTTATGTCTGCATGCCGCCGCCCGACAGCGCTCGATGTGTGTGTATTTGTTCTGCGTTTGTGTAGCACTCCGAGATGCTTGTGCACACTTTCAATTCGTCTCTCCAACCCCAGCAAAGAATCTGAAAACTCTCAATCGGAGCACGCGGGCCTACTTTTCGAATGTGGACCACGTGGTGTTCGAGGAATCGGCTGTAGTCGGCGATGAAGTTATCGAAAAGCCATCGCTTATCGGTAATCATTCCGGATGAAATGACACGGCACAGCACCTGAAACACGAAACAAATGAAACATAGTGGGTAAACTTAGAAGAGAATTTTGAAAAATGAAACCAAAGAGGACATCCACACACAAACACACACAATGATTTTTGAAACCATCGAAAGGCGAACAAAGAGCAGAAAAAAGGAGACGCCCCTTTGCCCATTACAGCACATCAAAGCTGGCTGTGATATGAGCAAGTCGACAAATCACCCACCACTTTGACGTGCCGTGCCGGTGTTGAGGACATAAAACTCTCCTCCCTCCGCACACTCACACTAACATACACAAACTGACATTGTGTTTCAAATAATCGTAAAAACGATTAGGTAGAAATATCGCCTACAGCCGACATTTCGACATTTACAATAGTTAGTAAATAGCGATGGCTGCGACGAAAAACTTTTGAGAGCTTACAAGTACTGGCATCAAATGCGGCTTGAGAGTGCAGAGGCAACCGGACAGTCAGAACAATCTGCTGCGAGTAATGGGAGAACAAGTGACGAGACGATTAGATAGAGAAAAGTGGCAGCTGTGCTGATCGTCTGCAACAGCCGGCCGCCAAGGCGCATCAAAATCGCAGAAACCAATTCAAAACTGGAGTTAGATCACTAGAGCTACTTCGAAACTTTATAAGACTAGGTTGACGATTTGGTTCTCAAAAAGGTAATGTTGAATGGGCCAAGCACAACTCAAAAAAAAGAAACCCCTAAGAAAAAAAACTAGAACGTCGGCTGTTGGCAGTAACGAGGATCGGAGGAAAACAAAGGCAATTAAAAGAGAATGAGGGTGGATGGACGGATGGATAGCGGTCTGCTGGAGAGGAAGTGCATTTTGCGTAGATTCAAAGGGCGAAAAACAGAATAGTGATACGGCCAGAACAAAGCGTCTCACTACCCATGTCTTTCACCCTCTAAAAAACTCGCACTCTCTCCGCTCGTCTCAGCCGATTGGCGATGACGCGCTGCGCTCTCCGCACCGCGCGGACCCACTCCGCAGCGCTCCGAACTCCCCGCACGCTCCGTCGCACGCATGCACTCTCCACGAAGTGTCTGTGCACTCCTCAACCCGCACGCACTCGCGCACGTGTGTGTTGTGTTGGGCGCGTGTTTCTTTCGAGAATAAATGCAATGCATACACTCAGAGGGCGGAGAGTTCTGTGCCGGGAACTTGCGGAAGAGACCCGCGGCAGACGACGAACAGCACAACGGCGACCAGAAACAGACTTTTGTAGAGAAGAAGTTAAAAGAAAGGAGCAAGTTAGGTAAGTGCGACAGAGAAGAGGACACAGTGCACTCTCACATAAGAACATTGACATAACACGAGCACAACTGCGCCCGTACCGCGGCAATTTCCACACGTCGATCCTCCATGCCAGGATCATCACCTTTAGACTCAATGAGGTCGAACAGAATCGGTATGATCTGGTTGCGGAGGGCATCTGAAACAGCCACGGTTTCTAGCAAAAGTGAGAAGTAGAAAAAAAACCAAGCTAAACAAACAAAAACAAAGATATTAAGGCAAACTACAAGCGGCACACCATTGCAGCGAAGCCGTATCTGATAGCAGAATGCGAAATATCGCCCCTTTTTTAGAGGGTTGAACAAAGACGAGCGATAAAAGATGCCCGAATCGCTTAGGGAGTCACTGATAAGGCACGCGCTACGCTGTGCCAATTGCAGATAACGAATGGCAAAAGAGAGAAATCAAAACTCGAACTGAGATGGCTCACCTTGAGGGATTAGTCCTCGTTCCAAAAGTACTCCAACGCCGAAAACGGCTCGATTGCTTGTCTGAAACAGTGATGTGGGAAGATTTAGTGGGCCAAGCAGCTAGAGCGGTGTTGAATCAGCTAGGAGAATAGCAGAAAAAGTGGTATGGGTGGTAATAGGTGGTTGGGAGAGGGGAGGCCGGAGAGGCGACAGAGAAGGAGAGCAGGGGGCACAACGCAGGAAGGAGGGAGCTGTCTTGATAGCGGGCGCACACACACACGCAACAAACACGCTCGCTCACGTTGTTGAAGCGGAGGCGGGGCCGATGGCGGGCCCGGCCAATCAGCGCCGCCTGCCAGACGCAGCAATTGCCACCCGCCGTGCGCGAGACGGCCAGAGCGCGGCAGAGACGCAGACACAACAAAATGATAACACACCAGTCGGCAGGAGAAACCGCCGCCACACAACTAGCGAAAATGCGCGCGAATGAAAAAGACTGGCGAGACGCAGACGACGAGTCGTCGGCGACGCAGAGCAGCCGCTGACGACGCGCAGACGGCGACGCGCGCTGAGGCACAGAGGCAGCAGAAGGTGAGGCTGCCTCCTGGCAGGCAGGCCGCAGATTGCAGGCCAACGAGCGAGACAAACCAAAGACTGACTGGATGGCTTGCTGCTGCTACTCGAAACAGTGACAGTCGCTAGGTGCGCCGTTCTGAAATATGCATGTCGCAGCAGCAACACAACTCGGCTTACGACGGAACGCGGGTAGCTATCGGATTTCGTGGCGATGGTGGGGGAAAAATGGCTCATAGGCAGGGGCCCCTTCCAGAGGGGAAAGGTCGAAAAACCAGCCAGAGCAGCAGTCGGCATCGGCAGCGCCCCGCAAAATGAGGAGGGAACGATATCGCAATGGCGGCCGAGTGATGCCAGACGTGCGCTGCTGCAACGCGAAGAGGCGATGGCGCAGCGCACATTTCGCACATTCAAGGTCAAACATTACAAAAAAGAGCGACCGGTTTTCGTATGCGGAGAAAGCGATGACCCTGGCTTAGAAATCGTTCGACCTTCGAGCAGCACCCGCGCTCGCGGGGACGCAACCAGCGCACACGAACCAATTCTTCATTGCTAAAAACTAGACGGAAAAAAATGATGACACAGGAAATACTATAAAAATACTCTACGATCTATTCGCGATAAAAATATGATTGCTAGTGCGTGTGGTTCCAAAACCGAATGAAAGAAAAAGTCCTGTGAAAAAATAGAAATGGAGCTCACAAAACTTCCCAATTTCAATGTCATCACGAGAAGAGAGAAAAATGAAACTACTTGGAAGTGCTGCGGATGTCTGACAAACATTCCTACTCTAAATATACTGGGAAAACGTCTCACACAAAGCACATCTAGAAAATAAGTAAGCACATCTCATCGATGCATCTCTAATATTTTCTCAAGTCTTCAACATGCCCAAGCAGCTTGAAAAAAAAAACAGGGCTGCAGAAAAATTCTGGAAACATGACTTATGCTATTTCGCAATCTGCTTTTTCTGTTTCGAAAGTCTCGCGCAATTCTCAAAGTTTACAGTTAATATTGACATATACCTTTTGTTATGCGGTCATTGAGTTGATGAAGATTGAGAACATCATTTTTACTTACGTTACTTTTTCTGAGAACTACTACGAGATAACTTTCAGTCATAGCCACATATCAGCATTTGGAACTTCGACGAGATAAGCAAGTTCCTTTCATACTTAAAAATCTATATTATGGAGAAGAGAGGAAGGAAGTCATATGGAAGAATTTGTCATTCAAAGCTCAAATGACGCTAGAACTCCAGGAGAAAAATGAATTGGAACGAGCGCGCAAAAAATGCACTAACAGCCATTCAACAGGAAAAAAATGCGCTGGAAAAAAATGCGGTCGATAACTCTATTGAAGCAGTATAAATTGTCGTAAATGCACCACGTGTGCAACGAAACGCCAGCATTCAAGCCACAGCTATTCTCCACAGCAGAGTTAACATTTGTTTCTGGGAGTGATCGCATCGATGTCATTGTCGATATTTTCATCATTGCATGATGTTTGAGTGGGACAGCAAAGGACGGAAAAAACCAAACTCGACGCCTGCGATACACAATTCGCTGGGCAAGCCGCATGCTGCAGAAACGTTCACAGTAGGGAAAACACAATGAACGTTCAACCGAATGCGTGGCTGCTTGCACGTAGATTTATTATGGGCTACATGAAGAGAAACGCAGAGAGCGCAGAGCATTCGGCAAGAATACGAGTCTCGCTATGATTTCGTGTGAGCCATATTCACGTGTCGCCATAAACAGAGGAATTTTTATTTTGCGAATATGGTAATTCCTTGCATTTATGTTGCTGTCTCATTCAAACTTACAGATGATTACGCAAAATACGTTGTTAGGTGATTACGGACTTCTCTTGTAACTACCTAACATCCACATTGAGATTGGGAGACTAGAGGATGCTTTACGCCCGTGTGTGAACAAGTTCAAACTTGGTTTCTCTTCAGCGGAGCATGGCCGAGTCTGTAACTTAACAAGCGTATTGCACACCATGGGCGCTACTTGACGACTTGCAAGAATGGGGCCTTTTAATTTAGCGTCTTCTCCTTTTTTCTTCTCTCTTCCTCTCTCTTTGTTTGCTTAGACATATATACTGAGTAGCAGTACATATTTACACAGTTTGTTCTGCTGGAAAAGGTTTTACTAACGAGTAACTGGTTAACGCGTCGTCGGTTGCCGCGCGGAGTGTGTAAATCCACATATTAAGTTACAGATGACTCGCGCATGAATCGTTCAAGATGAATTAAAGCACAGGTACTCTTCTTATTCACACATTCGAGTCTCCTAACAGAGAATGAAAGGGCACTGCCATCATATCCGTACTCCAAAGCCTACTCGGATAATGAATGTATGATGACTAAGAATAGTTTTTGATAAAAAAGAAGATTATTGTCTTCAAAGAACATTATATTAACACGCAGCATCATGCAAATTTTATGTATAAAAAATCATGGTCAAAATTAGAGGGTGGAAATGGATGTATTCATATTCGAAATTCCAACAATAAAACTTTTTCTGAATCTGAAAGGCTGCCCAAAATCGATCATATCCATCGTTACTGCTCTCTATGGCACTCAAATGTGTGCGACAAACCTTTGCGCTCTGCTGTCGGCATCGATCAACGACCGCTCTTCCAAACTGCCGTCGCTCTCAAATAATATCGAGTTTTTTTTCCTTTGTTTAGAAGCTACTAATTTGCGTCCACTAGGAGTTTCTCAGAAATTTTTCGGTGATGATGTGTGGTTCAATACTATCAAGTCGTATAGCTGTCATCAAGTTTCATCTTCTGATCTTGCCTCGCAATGTTTTTTTCTGAGCGCACAAACGAAAAATAAGCTATGCGCAAGAGCACATATGTTCTTATATGCTATCCTCTAAGCAGCTGCCATGCGGAAAAAAAACGCGCGGCAGCAGCGACGAAAAAATCGAACCGAAACTGCGCCGATAAGCGGCGGCGGAAAAAAGTCGAAAGAGAAAAGAGCGCAAGCCGGGTGAACAAACGCGACCGCATATCTCCGACTATACGACAAAATGTAGACGTACTGACAGTACAATAGATACACCTCAAAAATCGTCTTCGCTGCAAGTATGTCAACCGCCTACAATCCTCTTTACACGAGTCCGATGCGTTCGTTGTTTCTTGTGTGTTCCGACGAACGCAGAACCAAAAACGTTCTCCTCTCTCGTAAATTACACAGTCTTACTCAAACCAACAAAGAGCAGAAGAGCGTGACGGACAGCAGAAGAGCATGACGCGCGCAGATTGCAAGCAGAAAACCGATTACCCAATTTTTGCAACGCTGATGCATGAAGGCATGCACAACATGTAAAAAACGTTTCTAGTTGAGACGCAGCGAAGATAATCAATGTCTGACAAGGCACGTTTCCATCTAACAAAGTAAAGTTCCGAGAGAAGAGGAGAGTAGAGTGGAAGTACAGGCACGTTCTCAGCTACAGCCTGATATTCGTCTTTCCGCAGAGCTACTTAGCAGACTCGAGGGTGCAAAACAATTCATCATTTTCTCGCCGCCACCCCATTTCGAGTTAAATTATAGGGAAGGAGGTTTGTGCCTCAATTTGGCTTCCTCACAGAGGAAAAGGGATCCTAGACGCTTTTTGATGAAAAGACAACATTATTTTATCAAAAAAGTTCAGGTTTACATATTGAACAAGCGATTTGAAACCACAAACGTAGATAATTTGAATTAAAATATTAGATAACTCCTAGATGTATGCACAAACAGCAACCTCCGAAATGAGCGTCAAAATCCAGTGAGGTCGAACATGAGCACATGAACCTAAACGACCCGTTTTTCACGCAGCCTAATCCATCTTCAGCACTTTTTAGCATAACGATAAGCATCTCCGAAGAAATAAGGTCATACTGCAAATACATGTCACAAGTTCCGGCTTCCTATGGTTAGTCTGTGAACCAAAAATTCAAAAATTCGATATTAGAGAAGTACGAAAAAGACACTTATGCATGATGAAAACTGAAGCAAATCATTCAACAGGGTATTCTATTCTTAGCAGAATTTGTTAATGTCTACGTGATTTACGCGAAAATTAAGGGCAATATTGCCATTTCCTGCGCTAGTCACCTCAATAAACCCACTCCGATAGCAATCATTTTCAGTTTTCGCATGATATTTCAAGGTTTCTGCATGGTGAGGATCGAGTTTTTCTCTTTCGTTCGAAGGTCAAACGTCAAGGCTTGGGCGAGATGCATCCCAACGCAATCGGCATGACTCATTGTGAGAAGGCTTGGCGCGTTTTGTTTGAGCTGAGCGCGAAGACGTAACTGGCTGCGAACACAGCATTGTTGAAAGAGTCCTTTCATCCTAACTGGGATGAAACCGAAGCTAACCAGATAAAAAAGATTAACGAGTGCAGACCTTCACTTCCTACCAAAGATGATTATACCATTTCGAACCGAAACTTCGCTCGCACCTTCTAAGAAAATCGCAAGTTCTTTCTGTTTGCATGGATTCTCCT